CATCAAGGCTGAGAAAAGAACACACTGCTGCAGACAACAGGAAAATGCCATTATCGCTGTTTTCCATGTTCGTGGGGTAAATATGTTTGCATGGCTTTAAAAATCCCGGGTGCCTGTGTTTCACGTGCTTTTGGCCAATCAGTGTACACTTACATCACTGATAGTTCCTATATATCTAGTTTAGACCATACTCTGAAGCAGGAGCTAATTTAGTTCCCATAAAATGAGTTCCTAGAACTAAAATCATTCCTAGTTCCTGCGGTGCGAACACGTGTGAATCTAGGTACTTCTGGCAATAGTTCTAGGAACTATGGAAAGATTCCTCCGGTGCGAAAGCCCCTTTAAATAACGCTACATACAACACACACTGCTTCAAAACAGCTTTAGAGTGATGAACAGGATTCAATGGCGCAAAGAGTTCAATCTGCTGTAAAGCACTCTTAAAAGAAAATAGTGTCATTGTTCAGCTGAGGCAAGTTCATTATTGATGATCAATTTTGAAATGAGTTCAATTCAGCCATAAAGTTGCTCTGCAAGAAACAGGGATGTACAGTTGTGCTTGCAGAATCTCCACATATATGAAGAAATAAGAGGGATTTAAAAAAAGAAAAAAAAAGTATGTTATTTCATATTTAGTACTGTCCTGAATAAGCTCTTTCACATAAGAGATGTTTACATAGAGTCCACTAGACAAAATAACAGCAGAATTTATAAAAATGACCCCGTTCGAAAGTTTACATACCATTGAATCTTAATACTGTGTGTCGTTACCTGGATGATCCACGGCTGTTTTTTTGTGTTGTGTTGGTTGTTCATGAGTCCCTTGTTTGTTCTGAACCGTTAAACTGAGCACTGTTCTTCAAAAAAAAATCCTCCAGCTCCTGCCGATTCTTCAGTTTTCCAGCATCTTTTGCATATTTGAACCCTTTCCAGCAGTGACTGTATGATTTTGAGATCCATCTTTTCACACTGAGGACAATTGAGAGACTCGAACACAACTATTAAAAAAAGTTCAAACATTCACTGATGCTCCAGAAGGAAACACAATGCATTAAGAGCCGGGAGGTGAAAACTTTTGAACAGGATGAAGATGTCCGAATTGTTCTTATTCTTATTTTTTTTTTCCATTTAGTACTGCCCTTTGGAAGCAACAGAAGATAGTTGCATGTTTCCCGGAAGACAAATTAAGTACAATTGACCTTGATCTTCAAATGCAAAATGTTTTCACCCCCCGGCTCTTAACAGTGTACAAGTAACAAATTGAGTTGTCTTTCGCATTTCCTTTTGCTTGAATGGTTTTAAAATTGCTTGAATGCTGAACATCAGGGAGTTAGTGTCAAGCCCTGAATAAACATGCAAGGATATGGGATGTAAAAAAATTGTTTTTTTACATAAAAATATTATAAAAAAAGCTAGTAGCTAATAAGTAACAGCTGAAGATGGCTTTAAGCTAAAACATAAAATGTTCATTTGAATTGCATTTAGTGTACCATTCATTTTACATGGTATTTACTAGATGATTTGAAAATAAGCCTGGCTTATATATTATGTCCCTAAACAAGTAGCCTAAATGGAAGGAAAGAAATGCTGTGCAGATGGGCAGAAGATGAACAAAACTTCACATTTACCTTTGTTCTGCAAAATTTTGCAAACAAAGTCCATGCATTTCAATAAGATTCCGTGCAATTGGGAGTTTTGCATTAGAGCAAACGTTTTAAGTTGGCCATGCGAATTTGCCAAGCTGACCAAAAGAAAGTTACTTGGTTTGAAAGTGACTTAGTTGTGAGCGGTGCTTCATATATCGCTATACTATCGACAATGGTCCTTTCTTGCCTGAAAATTTAAGTGAATTTTTGCTAATGTAACCGTACCTGGGCCTGCGGTTGGTGTAGTTTTGCTACAGATGAGAGAGAGTGTGATTACTGGACTGAAATGTACAGTAGACAATACATACTGACCAAACATAAATGCAGAAAAATACAAAAAGTATAGAGTTAGTTGTAATAGTTCATTTAGCACAGATTTGCGATATTTGAGACGCATTACTTGCTGAGCAGTCTAATAGTTGTGAAGAGGCTGTTCTTGAAATATGAAATTGATCTGCAACATCGGCCTATGTAAAGTAGGGATGCTCCGATCCGCCTTTTTCGCCTCCGATATCGATTCTGATACCTAGGGTTCGGTATTGGCCGATACCGGTGAAGTTTTTTCCCCTCATTTAAATAAATGTAGAATTTATATATCTCTGTGTGTGGAACTGATAGTCATTCTTTCACAATCTACTAGATACAGACTACTTCATTATAAAGAAAAATAAAATAAATATGAAAAAATATAGGCCTATGTATATTTATAATCTATGACAAAAATGTATCATAAACTAGGTTAGTGGATAATTCGGCAGCAAAAGTTATTCTAGAAAAATCAGTGCACAATAATTTTAGAAATCCAAACATTTAGTGAAAAAACAGTTATTGAGCCTTTCTTTTAACAGTTTTAAATTTCAGTTACTGTGCACATTTAAAAACAATTTATAGTCTTTTCTACACCCGTGTTTTGTTCTCACAGACACCCGGTAGCAAGTAACAAAACAACATTAAATTCCGGCAAGAAGATAAAGTCCTTTTTGCAAAATCATAGACATGTATTTACAAATCAAGTATAACGGGGAACACAGAATGATCTTGAAGAGAGCTTTATCGAGCAGACTGGTGTAACCGAACGCGACCAGGGTTTAAAGACTGAACGAATGACTGACAGCCACAGCGGAGAAAAGAGTTTGTGTGAACTTTAATGTAAGGACTTAAATATTAATATGTAGCTCACATTAAGCTATCGTATGGCTTCAGAAGTAACACAGAATAATTCGCACAATCGGGAAAAAAATAAAATAAAATCTCGGATTTGGATCGGCCCTCTCTGACCGATACCCGATCCGAGAAAAATGTCACTATCGGAGCCGATACCCGATATGAATATCGGATCGGCGCAGCCCTAATGTAAAGTTGACTTTATAACCAAGATTCGCCTTTGTGCTTGGTTAGATGGTTTAAGTTCCGGCGTGAATGTGCTTTGTCATCATTCATAGTACACAATGAAGTCTAGTCAAAACCTGAAGCTCCTCAGAATCAATGAAACATCTCTGTCACAGTCGCTCCTCTCAGTTTGAGCTCAGCTTAGTGTTAAAGCTGCTTCATAATGGCTCTTTAATAAGTAAATAGAAACAGCTGAAGTTCAGTCAGGTCAAAAGAAGCTTAATTTAACCCTTGAACTCTGACCCTGCCCACATGGAGGCATTCACTCCTAATCTCAGGTCTAAAACGGATCTCGCTTTTCCCCTCTGACTTTGAAAATCACTGATTTCCGGACTTTGGGAATGGCATAGACATCTGACGTTCCCCTGAGGAACAGAAAAAGTGAAGGTGACTTTCACTGTGTGGTTGCGCTCAGTCTTTCCAGACGTGATTGCACATTCACTCATTCCACTCACTCAAGGGCAAACATATGTCTTGTATACTAATATTCCCCTGGCAGAAGTGTTTCCTATACACAGAGTCCTCAGTAATGCAGTAATCTACTGCAGCGTGTGTGCTGATAATCACAAAACAACCTGGCCTTTAAAGTTGCGATATAACTGCAGCAAAGCTAAACATAAATGGCCTCAGAAATCAGAATTTAATTTTGCACTCCACCCATCAACAACAAATCTGTGCTGCTAGCTTCTGCGCTAGTTTCTTGGGTAACCGCACTCCAGATTTCATCATTAATTATGAATGTGAAACGTATGACGTAGATGATACATTAAATTTGGTTTAAAACGAGATATGTGGAAGTCGCACAAGACAGTAAAGGACATCTGTCAGTCTCACACTGTTTTGAAATGAAGATTTAAAAGTCTGATATATATTAGCCAGGCTAATTTATCAGATATTTGTCTGATAGCCCTTCTTTAATGTTTTTGAATGGATTTCAAGTGGGTATTGTATAAAAGAAATAAAATTTCAACAATATTGTGTTAATTTGCAAAAAATAAATTTAAAAAATTGGTTAAATTGTGTTATTTAGGCCTTTATTGACCAACATCCATCCTGTTCCTTAGGTGTCAGTCCTGTATTGGTGAACACATAACATAATGTAGCTGTTGGTTGTCAACCATTATGCATGACGTGTGTGTGTGTGTGTGTGTGTGAAAAATATATATGAAAAGTTTTCTATTTCAAATAAATGTTGTTCTTTTAAAATTTCTGTTCGTCAAAAAACCCTGAAAAAAATATATCATGCTTTCCACAAAAATATTAAACAGCACAACTATTAGATAATAATCAGAAATGTTTCTTGGGCACCAAATCAGCATATTAGAATGATTTCTGAAGGATCATGTGACACTGAAGACTGGAGTAATGATGCTGAAAATTCAGCTTTGCATCACAGGAATAAATTACATTTACATTCTGATCATTATTTAAATAGAAATAGTTATTTTAAATTGTAATAATGTTTGGCAATATTACCTTTTTTTTTTACTATATTTTTGATCAGAAATAACGAATGCAGCCTTGCTGAACTTAAGAGACCCTGGCCCCAAACTGATGTAAAAGCTTTAAAGGGGTCCTATTATGCTTTTTCACTTTTTCAACTTTAGTTAGTCTTTAATGTTGCTGTCCAGTTCAAAAGGAGGTATTTTATTTAACAGAAATCACTTTTCAAAAACTACAACGAACGATTTGTTTGGACTACAACGCATATTTTCCGGGATTTGTGATATCACAAATATCGACGAATGGGACGAGACCTGGTTGAGCTGCACTAGAGAAGGCAACGAGTGTTATCATGTCGGAGACACGCTAGCTTTCCCAAGGCAGACAAACTTTTTTCAGACGAATCCGGGTTTAAATCGCGCTCAAATTGATTTGATTTTGACCCAATACTGTAATACATGAAAAATGAGTAACCGCAAATCTTCATATTGTGACACATCTCTGTCTTTCTGTCTCTTATAGAGGAGTAATGATGAGAACGGAAACTGTTCTGGGAACAGTATGGAGTTCCCCACCACTAATCTGTATGAGCTGGAGAGCAGAGTGTTCACTGATCACTGGTCCATCCCGTACAAGAGAGAGGAATCTCTCGGCAAGTGCCTCATCGCCTCCACCTGCCTGGCCAGACTGGGTGAGTTCTTCTGGCTTTTTTATGTACATGTCTGAATATTTGTGTTCTGTAGAAAAAAATGTCACATCTGAAATCTCTTTTCCTCACTGTAGGCCTGGCCGATGCAGATGAGAACTGTAAGAGATTTGTTGACCGTTGCATGCCTGAAGCCTTCAAAAAGGTGTGTGTGTGTTTGAATAAGCAGGCATGTAAACACAAAAGCTCTCAGGAGTTTGTAATAAGTTGTTAGAAATGGTGAGATGTGGTAAGATTAAAAATGAAGGTGTTAAATGGTGTTGTAGTTGCTGACGTCCAGTGCGGTGCACAAGTGGGGAACTGAGATTCATGAGGGCATCTACAACATGCTAATGCTGCTGGTGGATCTGGTCGCGGAGAGAGTCAAACAGGATCCGATACCCATCGGCCTCATGGGAGTTCTCACTATGGTACACACACCCTTTTGCTATTACATACTAGTTACTGTGGTTAGCTTCTACAAAACATCTGACTAAGACTGGATGATGCAACAAAAAAAATATATTTTTGGCAATATTCCTTATGTTTTCCCTTCTATCTTTATAATATTAACATTTATATTTTTTTTTTATCAGAAATTAACATTTTTAGCAAATTAACATTTTAACCAAACAGTTATTGTAGCCAAGTAGATTCATAAACTTTAATGTAAGAAGTAAAATACACCAAGGAAGTATAGTAAAATAGGAATTTAAAAAAGTATAGAAAATGTTGTAAAAGAGTATCTAAAATAGTTCTAGATAAATATTCTAGTAATATTTTAGTAAAAATAAGTTTGTCACAAAATTTTCACCAAATTATATTTAATGGATTTTTTGTTAAATTAAATATATTAATCAATTTATATGAAGCAAGTAATTATTTATTTATTTCATATAATTAATATCACTTGTGTTGTATGCATGTTATTTTTAATACAATACATAAATGTTAAATGTATACTATGCAATATTTACATATATATACATGTGTGTGTGTGTGTGTGTGTGTTTCTTCTGAATATTGGTAACACAGAAGAAGATATTTTGAAGAATGTTGGGGAACAAACAGTTGTCAGTAGCCATTGACTTCCATAGTATGGAAAAAATAATAACAACTGACCAGAAACTGTTTTGTTACCAGCATTCTTCAAAATATCTTATTTCGTGTTCAACAGAAGGAAGAAACTCAACTTGGGTTATCTATCAATCTTATGAGAGTTGTGTAATTTCATATCACCAACAAATTCACTGCAAATATATTGTGAACATGGACCTATGTCAGACCATCCTGGGCTTAACTTGTTTCCTTGTACTTTTGTATTGACAGGCTTTTAACCCTGATAATGAGTATCACTTTAAGAATCGGATGAAGGCCTGTCAGAGGAACTGGGCAGAAGTGTTTGGAGAGGACAGCATGTTCGCTGTTTCTCCCAGCTCCAGCTACCAGAAGGTACTGCAAATGTACATGTGTGGGTGCGTACGTGTGCTTTTGGCTTGACAGTTGACTGGACAGTTCTTGCTAAAGGACAGAAAAAAATGGTTTTGAAGATTTCAACACGTTTTCAGCAAAATAGTGGCGCGGTGTTTTTTTTTTGTTTTTTTTTACAAAAGTGTCCATGTTTGATGGGAGGATAGTGAATGAAAGAGTCAGGGAGTTTATGATTAAGAAATTGTACTTTTTGATGGCAAAAACTGTCTGTTAGTGTATTTTTGCAACTAAGAAACTTAACTGCACAGCAATAAGGAGTCATTTATGTTTAAGTAATTGAGTTTTACACCATGAAGTATAGTATTCTCTTAAGATAAAATGATATAACTTGCAAAGAAACTACGTTGTTTTGCTACGTTATGTTTGTTTTACTACGTTATGTTTTGTGTTCTGATTGGACCAGGAACCTCACGGCTGGCTGGTGGACTTGGTGAATCGGGTAAGAACTTAAGGAACAAACACTGATAGAAGGAGTTATATTATAATATATTACCTGACATTAGACAGATCTATGTGGTGTTCGATGACTCTGAATATGTCTCTGGCTTATATTTGCAGTTTGGAGAGATGGGAGGCTTCACAGCAATTCAGTGCAAGCTCAACCAGGAAGAGATGGAGATTGGGGTAAGACTGTGAACTCTGGATGTCTTTAAATGTTAGTGATGTAAAGTGAAATCGTTATTTATTGCATATGTCCAAGGCCAATAAAAATATGACAATTATTGTTGATATTATAATAATTATAATTATTGGCTTATCTGTGTCAGCCCAAACTTTGGTGCATCCCTTGTGAAGTGAATGCGACGTAATTATATTTAGTTGAGAATCAAGCAACCGAAATTACTGAGCTAAAACGTTGTTTCCTGTAATTGTGATTTCTGTGTAAACACAGATGCGGCTTCTTTCCTCAAAGCTTGTTTAGTGTAGATGTAAATGTAAACTCTGCCAATGTTCTGTTATTTCCTCAAATGATTTCTTAGCCAACTCTACTGAAATGGACTAAAACGAAATTGTGATGTAAAGAAAAAGGAAACTTTGAAAAAAAGGGTTTCAAATTAAAAACAAATTTGAAAAAGCTAAATAAAAACCTTGTACCACACCTTAAATATAAAAGAGCTGTTGGTTGCACACTCGGTACAGGCTACAAGTTTAGATGTCCCAGATATGAGCAGGACTGGCTATCTTTGGGTTGAGAGACCTGTGAGCATCTTAATGGAATTGCAAAGAAATGAATGGATAATTCATGGATAATCCATCAAAGTATGGGTGTCTGGATGAAAAGAGGCAGAATGACTGAGATGAAGAGAGAGAGCGAGCAGAACGAGGGCAGATTCTATTATAGCATGTGTGCTAAAGAGCTCAGGATGTTTATCACCATCACGGAGAGCATCCTACTCACAGCAGACAGTGAGAAAGAGACGAGAGCAGGGGGATGAGAGAAAACATGAGATGCCACATTCATATTGCTTGTAAAAAAAGCATTCAGGCCAGTTATTAAGATATTCTTTTAAACGCTATTTCTCATCAAGCCCTCTGAGGTGGTACGCTTGTCTGAAAAATATAAAAAATTGAGTTAGTGGGATAATGGCAAAAAATTCTACCACACAGCTCTCAAACACCAACTAATGTTTTATAGGGACAGACAGATAGACGGGATGGAACACAAGTTGATTGTGAGTCAATAGCTTGTTTGCAATCACGTGATTCTGATGACGCGCGAAATTCAGATGGAGGGCAGGAAGTGAAAAGCAGAATGGATGAGATGGAGGAAAGTCCGTACTGTACTGGTTTAGACACTATTACAAGAGAAAGGTATGAACAGAAAATCACAACATATGTTGGACGTGATCCTTATGTTATGAAGAGGAGCGATTTTTCAACTAAATTGAAATACTTCAATTTCCAGGCTAAGCAATTGCTTACCTGAACTAACCCTGATTGCAAAACTATTTTGAAAGTGAATTTATATGTGTACATGCTGCATGTACAGGGTATGTGGCCGCTGGTCCTGCATGTAAAACAAAACTTTTATTCAAATTCTGAATTGATTATAGCCTAGAAAGCGAGCAAATAGCGTTCCATATAATCACTAAAAAGCTGTCACTCACTTCAATTTATCGCAATCTCACAATGTTCTGTTATAATCAATGAAGCTCTCTAAACTGCACTTATAATATCTTATTTACATCGTGTCTACGTGTGGAGTTTAGCATTGAGTGAATTCTGACTGTCTCATGCTGAATGCGTGAGAGTTGGCAACCCTCTATCTATTTATATATTTCTTTATTAATATCTTAAAGGGGTCATATGATGCTGCTAAAAATAACATTATTTTGTGTATTTGGTGTAATGAAATGTGTTT